GAATACCGCAAAGTATTTTGTGTGTCGGCGTGGGTGAGGTGAGGGGGAATAAGAAGGGTTCAGTGAATGCGCATATGAAACTGGGGGGTTCGGTACCTCAAACAAGGTTAAGAACCACTGATCTATAGCCTGGCACCCGTCATCACAGTCATTTGCCTAAGAACCACTGATCTATAGCCTGGCACCCGTCATCACAGTCATTTGCCTAAAAACGTGATTAAAGGTATCGTCAACTAGACTACGAGAGGGGACGATATCCCATATCCTACGTGTTGTACCGAGTGAATCAACCGAAAGGGAATGCTAATATTACTTCTGCTCTGAAGAAACATGAGCAGAATTTCCATAACCGTTTAATCCTGTAAATGATATTGGAGGAATTGGTGCAACTCTTCACCAGTCAGCAGCTGAAAGGACAGTAGGAAGTCAGTCCATTAACCGTCTACCACACAGGTGACTATGTCTTACAACTGTAATAAAAATCCCTACAGATACTTGATCATAATTTGTCTAACTGCTTATTGAACCAATAGTGCTTCTGCAAGCAGTGTAAGCGAAAGTTTAATTTTTTTTTCTTGTCAAGATCAAGATGTGCTAAAGTAAGAACTCTTACATCAATTGGTCCAAACAGAACTCAGCCAGGAAAAGGAAAGTTAAAGGAAAAGTACCACGAAAGTAGAACCAGAACCATCAGTCGTGGTCCGCATTCATCATCAAAGTTTCACCGTTTTGACAACAGTCTGCAAGAAATCTGGTAACTGAACGCTGGTTTAATTTCACTTGCATGGGACTAGGACAGGACTATCACTGTTGACTTAGCCCCTGGACTCCACCAGTTTTAAATAGCCTGCTAGTGTGTAGTGTTTTATTCTCTGTATCACTGAATAAGGAACAGGTTTGTTGGAGGGAGCTTCAAGGAACAATAGGGCTTTTGTCCAGCAGACATTTTGAGAAGACAGGCAAGAAATACAGAGCTGTGCATGCCTGCATTCCATCAAAGGTCAAGCTAGATCGTCAGTCTTTTTTTGGGCACTAAAGTAACAGTTTTTCATCATTTGAAGCAGACGATCAACTATCAGAAGCAATATGACTGAATATGACTTTAAATGGATTGTAACTTTTAGAGACAATCCCTTCCCAGTCAATTCACATATCCCACAACTTTGAAAACCTTGCTACACCACTGCGTGCAACTAATACGCAAACAAGTAGGCAACTTGGGGTTAAATACCTTTGCCAGGGACAAATCAACATTTGTTAGGAGAAAGTTGGAATTCACTCCCCAACTTTCAGACTGCTAGATTATTACTCTTCCCTCTGATCCACAGTCGCTTCAGCTACCTCCATACCATATAATATAGCAAAATAGGTGATTCATGGTTACTGTTCTACTAACATGAAAGCAAATATTTAAAATAATCCCAAGATCAACTGTGCATTCACTTGAATTGGCCAGAATTGACGTTTAAAGTTCTTTATGGTGGTAAAAAACTGGGTATAATGGCATTTGAATAGCTTTTAGCTTAGCTTGTCTGTCAGGAAACCTCCTGCTTCTAAACTCATGCTATTCTGACTGCTGCCTGATAAAATACTGACTGATCAAAAACGAAAAAGCTAAATCACGCATTGCTACAGAATAAAATGATTCTAAAAACAAGTCAATTTCAATGTGCTGTGTGACTGTACAAAACTAACCCCACAACCCAAAGCGCCGAGTAACAATATAAAGTTACTGTTTCAAAGTATGAGGTGACCTATTCACTTATCTGATCAAAATGGACATTTCAACGATTTATGTAGTGTTTCCTATTCTTGCTCTCTGGAGCACACACTGCATATTTTAGACATTTCCCTTCTCCAAAGACTCTCAAAGAAAGGAATTACCTCAACAGCTTGTAATCTTGTTCTGCAGAGGAACCACTGCCAATTACTCATCAGCTTAAATCAGGTGCGTCAAAGTTGTCTGCAGACGGCAATTTCAGGGTGATGAGTTAGGGAGGAGTTCTCCTCAGGTTCAAACGAACCGCTACTCAGGGCAGGGCCTAAACAAAGAAAATTTCTGTCTACCAGAACAGCTATAAACTCTAAATGCAATTCCATCGTTTTTTAAATTGTGAATGACCCAAAGAAGACAGAAAGCGAGCAGAAAAGCTTTAGTAACCAACATAGCAAACAAAGCTCCAAACACAAGAAGGCAAAAAGAAAAAAAAGCTAAAAGCTAAAGACAATCAAACGAGAACAGAGATACAACAGGAGACTTGCAGTAAATAGGAGGATCAGACAAGGAACCAAAGAAATCCAGAAGTGCAAATACTTGAGTGTACATTTAATGAGTGTTGAAGGTCTGTCAATTGCAGATGGATTTTAGATATTTTCTGAAGGAAAGAGTTAAGGCTAAGCAGACAACAAGCAGACTGATGATAACTGTGGTGTGTGTGCAAAACTGCAGGTTATTCGCCCAATGGGACTCCTCGGGCAGCTGGAGTTAAAATACAGGTTGGCAGGAAGGAAAACCCTCCTAGATCTCTCAAACATAGTTTTTAATGCAACTAAGGAAGACACTGGAGGGAAACTGTATTCATTGCACAGCTCTATGGAAAACGCTACTTCTAAGCTCATGTCTCAAAAAGCACCCAGGTGATCCTCAAGACTTTGGAAGGCTTGGACCAAGGATATAATGCATGTATTTATATTTTGAGTAAAACACAGTATTTCAGAAACATGATCCAGTCAAACACGGTGCCATTAAGTTAAACTTGTTCACTGTCTTTTTGATTGTCTTTATTGTTTTTGATGGCTGCACTATTGTAGCATAGTCTCCTGAGTGTCCTACTGACTGCATCTGGCTGTTGAACTTACTTTGAACAGCAGGGGGCCGTACGTGCCCATGAAGACATTTCTTGGTAAACCTTAATTTAAGTCTCTCCACTTGACTGCACTGTATCAGTCCATGCACTGGCACCAAAGCAAGTTCACACCTTTTTTTCACACCAGCACTGCCAGAATTCAGCCAATAATGCAGAGCACCTCTTCAATGTCTTGTTGGTCCTAAACCCTTCAAATTAGCTGGTTCACCAAAGGGTTAATGTTCTGTTGTGTTTTACATGTTGTTTTCAGTTTTATGGTAACCTCCTGCATGAGTATGTGATGCACTTCTGGGGTAGATTTTGTTGCCACTCTTAGGAAGATTGACCACTGTTCCACATTATGTCCATTTGAAGATGAAAGTTCTCACTGTGGTTTGCTGGAGTCTTAAAGCCACTTTGTGACTCTTTTTATACTGATGGATGACAAAGAACTCGTTTGTCATCTGTTCTTGAAATTCTGTGGATCAGGGCATTATGTGATTCTTTTTGTCATCTTTTTAGCCTCCTTCATCTTCTCAGTAAGGTTCTATTTAAAGAGGCTGTGTTACGATCCAGACTAGCAGCAGAAACAATTGGCAAACTCCTGGCGGAACTGTGCATCTGCAGAAATTATTATTATATGAACTATCACTCAGTCCGACACTGAAAGAAAATTAAAAGAATGTTTGTAAATGTCTTAACAGAGAAATGTTGTTGTAATGAATTGCTGAATGTAGAATGTGGAGTCTTTAAAGAGCTTCTTAAAGAAACAGAGGCCCAGTTTCAAGGCATCAAATTGCAAAGTCAAAATTCTTTTGAAAGGTTTGATATTTACGGTATTTTTATAACAACTGACGGAAACGTAGTTACTTGATTGTGCTATAAAATGGCAGTGAAATGGTCAGGAAAATACATAATCTTGCTCCCTTAAGAGAATCCTTGATTTTACAGTATTACAGTAATTACAGTAATCATTTCTGTATAACAGTAATCATAAGGATTACTGTATGACAGTGGTCAAGCCTGGGAGTTAGCTGTAAAATGAATCTCAACCTTCCAAAAATGTGGGTATGGTAATTTCTGATTTAACAGAGATTGTTTTGGATAGCTTCTTCCAACTCGAAAGCACAAATTTCTGATTTTAATTCTACATTTTGTATTTACTTAGGCTATCTCTGTTTGATATCAAAAAGTGTTTGATGGTCTGAAACAATTAACTGTGACAAAAAAGCAAAACCAGAAGAAATCTGTGAGGGAGAAAATGCTTTTCACAGCCATGTAATGACTCAACACTGTCATGGAACATGAACTTGAAACAAACTGATCTTGACCTCTGAATGAACTGCTGTGGTGCAGTCAGGCTGAGCAGATAAAAGGCCCCAAAGGAGGATCGGTCTCTGATGTTATGATGACAAGACCTTGTACTGAAGGAGTCTATGTTTGCAACGTCAAACATCGGGAATGATTCATTGAGTTACACGTGAAAGGGATGACCTCAGTTACAAGGAAATACAACATTATTGGTTCTCTGTTTCGAGACGATTACCAAAGCCTTCAGGAGTTTGCTTAAAATAAAAGACACTTGTTTCAGTCTAGAGTAGGTTTTCTCTAAATAACCTTGGTTAATGCCCTGGTGTTTCTACTTTCAAGGAATAAACTTCTTAACTGCTCCAGATTCAGCTTGACGTTTCACCTGAACATGATCTGAAACTTTTCAAGATATCAAAGAATCAAAGGATGTTTAACTCTCTGAGATCTGACAGAAAAGAAACTCCACTTTATATTGAGGCGCTTCCACTCCAAAAATGGCTGTGAATCTGATATGAAGGATTTTCTTAATGGTGTGATGTAATATTCTTATGTCATGTTTTCATTATCTGTAAGCAGAAAATCATCAAAACAGAAATAAAGCCTTTCAAATCTATCTAATTATTCTATATAATGGATTTCAATGTGTTTAAAATTTCTCAAATAAGCTGGCTCTTTAATATTCTAATTTACTGACTGAGTCTGAACATCAATGCAGTTTAATTATTCTGTATGCAATTTGGCATTCAATGGAATAACGTCCCAACTTGAGTTTGATGATGTTTCTCACTCTGGAGGTCAAATACAAACATATTCAAGATAAATCAACAAATTAGGAGACAAAAATTAAAAACATGAGGAAGTGCATTTATTAAATAAAAGAATAAATTACAATGATAAGACACCAATGTATAAATACTGCCAAATAACACTGGAAATGATGCTATAAATGTGTCATGTCAACATTACAAAAAGTTGTCAATAATGAAGTGATCATGTTGAAGTTATACTGACTGAAAGGAGTAACAGGAGTTCAGAGGGCAACCCCGTGACACACCAGTTCAATGCACAAACCACACATCCAGAAATATTCAGTTAATGATAGTGACGTGAGAACTGACTGGCTGTACAGACACAAGCATGCACAAACAAACACGATACCACACATCTCTGCTTTTAGACCTTGGATTGCACTAAAAATCACAACTATGACCATTTTGCCCAACGTCACACCCACACGAGTGGCTGTTTATATTAATGATGAATGATTTACTGAAGGATTACATCATTTTGTTTTGGCATATTTGCTCTCCACAGCAAACTGTACATGGCGGAACATTTATAAATGCTTAAGTCCTGAAGAAAACCCGGTAAACATGTTTACAGCTCGCTTAATTCAGTGCACATAATTTGAGTATTTAACATTAAAGTTTTTCATAAACCTGTTACGACGAGATATGTTGGCAAACTCTGTAAACCTTTTCAGGAAAAAGAAAAAAAAATGTCAGAGCTGCTGAGGTCTTTTTTGATCCTGTCTTAATGTTGCGTAGTGCTGCCACCAAGTGGTGAGCATGTAGAATTTAATTTGAAATTGGCAGTACACGTATTTTAGCTCTGTTCTCACGCTCTTAGTAAACAGACCACATACCAGTTTATTTTGCAGTTATCTTAAAAAAAATCTTGCTCAGATTTCTGCCATGCAAAGATAACACACTGGTGACAAAACTGGAATTTTTTTTTTTTTTTTTTTGTAAAGTCAGAGCATGTGATTAAAAGAAAACCTTAGTGCAGAGATTAGTGTCTTTCAAATGCTATGTCCTATATTTGAATATATACCGCAATTAATCTAAAAGCCTGTCATCTGTTTAAGTGTAAAAATATTCACAATTACTAAAAATCCATCTGAATCTATGATCATCTAGTTAAACATACTCAAGGTGTCGTTGCAGGAGCACACTAAGCCCATGCAAGTGTTCAGCTGCATCATTCCCATTTAAACCTAAGTCCTCATCTACTGTAATATAAAGTAGATAAAACCGCTGCTGTCTCCAGTTTAAAAAAAAAGGCCGAATTGAGCCGGGTGAGGGAATATTACAGAAACTTTTCTTTACTGGAGTTGGTAATTGAAGAAGACAGCACAGCTTGTTAGGTTTGTTAGGACCTTCTGACAACAAAGCCACAGGGATCCTTTGTGTATTCAAGCAGCAGCTGCAGAGAATTTTAATCTTTAGCAGAGCTGGCTTGTTACTCCCCGCTGCACAGAAATTCAGATACAATACTAGAATCTCTATTAGTTAATTGTACACTTCTTAATGTGGCACTTTCTAAGTTTTTAACAAGTGAGACCAGTTATGAAAACAGATTAAAAAAAAAGTTCATTTAAAATGGCACTATGTCTCACCGTTACTGGTTTTACGTAATTAAACCATAAAACAAACAAAAAAAAATCTTATTATTTCAACTTCTAATGCTCGACGGCGTATATTTCGGTCTTTGCAGCCAAGAAATAAAAAAAAAAAAAAAAAAAACACACACACACAATAGTATGGTGAGTTTTGGTCACCCATTCAAAAAAAAAAAATCTATTTCAGTGCAAGTTTCCAGGTAGAAATAGTCCTTTTTGAAGCAGACAAAATGTCATCTTAGCTGAGATGCATTGATCAGGCCTTTTCAAACCATTACCAATTCTGAACTATTTTGGATTTGACCTGCAGATTCAGATTTTCACCCGGTCAGATGTTTTGAAGCAATTTTGAATCAATCAAAAAAGAACCTGCAAGATCATGACCATCAAAGTCTGATTAAAGAGCATCAAATTTCATTATGTATGGTGGGAGTTCTTAGCTGATCAATGACGATCAATGTGGAAAATTATCCACTTCGGATCTATGGCTGATGAACTGCTGCATCTCTGCTTCCTATCCGCATGACAGCCACAGTTTGACTTCATATCCTCATGCCTCTGTTGTACTACGTAACGTTACATTATAATCAGAACTCACATATTACATTTAAAGTCAGAAAGCATTGACAGTATAGTGTTTTACACCCAGACTTGAAAATCGGACTCATTATTGTCTTATAAATTGCTCTCTACACAAAATTCAACATTTTTGTTGCTGTCATTGAACACAACATTAAAGAAAAGTGACAAAAAAACATAAACTACAAACCTCCTCAAAAATGAGCCAATTTCAGCCGTAATCCCTCACGTTGCTGTGTGAAAACTTAAACGAGGAATGGACGCAAAGCAGAGGTCAGGTGACACGGATCGTGAATGTGCTGGAGAAAATAAATTTGGCTGGAGATCACATTAGTTTGTGTAAAATGCTGCGTCTAACTATTCAGGAAAAAAAGGCTTCAGAGTTGTAGTCTGAGCTCAGCTTGATATGCTTGTTATTACATGTTGACAGAATGTGAACTGCTGACTCTCTTTAGGAGTTATTGCAATTCATTTGTAAACAGACATCTGCAAATACCCCGTGGAAGAGAGGGGAGAGCGGCAGCAAGCGTCTCCTAAAGCCAGCTGCATTTGCACAAGTCGAAGATGTAATGTAATCACGTTTTATCTTGGCTGAGGCATATCACCGATTTTCCATTAAAACCCTCATCAGATGGTGTCCCTTGGGGGAAAAGATGCGCATATGTTGGATGGGTTTAACATGGAGAGGGAGGCAAACAGGTTGACACCAAGTTTTACAGACTAACAGTTATTTCACTCATGCAGCAAAGCTGGGGGTGAAAATCATAAATTTTCTTATAGATTTCTATGTGAGCTTCATTGCACTGTTTTCATCCTGATCGATTCTTTCACCGCCTGCCTACAGGTTGCTTTCCTGGGTGTCATTTGAAGTGATGGGGTGCAGACCTCCGTTGTCGTTCAGTCTCTTGGCACGGTACGTCTCGTAGTGAATGTTGTGAGTGACCTCCTTCAAATCCTGGAGGTGGGACCTGGAGAAACGACGAGGAAAAACTCAGAAGACAGCTCTGTAGTCAGTTTCAATACCGCGGAAATAAACAAACACTCCAACAAATACTTAGACAATTTAAGGATGATTTAAAGTGAGCAGTTCACCTAACAATTTTTGGACCGTAAGAGAAAACTGGAGTGCCCAGAGAGGACCCACACATGCACAGGGAGATAAAAGAACTCCATGCAGAAAGACCCAGGGTCAGGATTTGAACCTACATACCTGATCAGGAAATCTCTCAGCTGAGCAAACTCACAATGGTTTGGATTTTCAACTGAGACAAAAAGAAGAAACGGATTCAAACGAACATCCTCATTGTTTCTGTGGCAGAAACACCAAAACGCCACCAACCACGCCCACCTTCTATGATTCCCCACGGCGTCTTCCTCCCCAGGACTCGCTTCCCATTCACTTGGTATTCTTTGTCACTTCCCACCACAGCAAAGGGCATCATTTCCTATAGGCAGACAGATTTTCACACTGACTAAGGTTCACAAGTCGGAACAAGTGAGCAAAGATATTCCTCTGCCTCAAACTCCAACAAAAAGCGGGAGAAACTGTGAACAAAATCATGAAATTTGCAGCTTGACTTGGACTTAGAAACTGAAAAATCCACTCATGTTCAGTGAAGGCCTGGTACTGGCAATAACAACACTCTTCAGTGTGAAAGTTATCTGTTTTCACTGTCAGAGGTGTTTAAAATATAAATAAAATAAAATATAAATATCACAAGAAGCTTCAATACTTTTTGAGTTTTCATCTTGTGTCTGTCAGGGAATGTGGCGGATTTGGAAATGTTGGCGGTCATATTTAAAGTGAGGATCTTCAGGAAACAGACACAGAAACTGCTGTTCAAAGCCACTAAAGCCAACTGTACAAATTACTCATATAAGATACTAAAGTAAGCCTTACATGTCCACTCCTATCATCTTGCCTTTCTTTTAAATATTATAAAAATCCGGCTTTAAAACTACTTTCCCTTTCACACTGTGGCTTTGCATGTTCCCCATATAAATACGTTTTACTGTGAGCATTTGTTTAATGCAGGAAGATGCCAAGGTGCTTTATGCACTAAGGATTAGATTTGTTCATTGCACAAAGACCTTCGTCTTCCTCACACACAGCTCAAGCCAGAAAAAAGGCAATCACTTCAACATTTTTTTTTTACACTATATCGTGTAAAAATTACAACAATTGGTCAGTTGTCTCTGCCCCGTTAGATAGCCACTGACGCATTATATGATCAATTAAGATAGTTACTGACACACAAGGGGCCACTTGTCTGAGACATGCTCATTGAGATTCCTTATACTTGTGTCTGTTTCTCTAATTGTGTGTGCTTGACCCACAGAATCCAGGTCAGAGTGTGTGTCTGGGAGATAAGAGGCATGTTAACTTCCTGCTCCAACAGTAAGGCGTCACTCTGATTCTGGTCTCATAAAACAGAATCCAGATAATATTCAGATCTCGCTCCTCACTCGCATGTGACAAGTTGTCCACCTCAACAGTTCCTCCTTTCACTGCTTTATTTTTAATACTAACTTTTAATACTTTTTATATCTTTTCTAGAATAGGTCTTATAATAAGATATTGCACTTAAGATAAAAAAATGTTTGTAAATATGTTCTATGCAGAACTCCTTAAGTGACATAGTTTTAGCTTCACTTGGTTTAAAAAAACAACAACCTCCTCTTAAGAACCCTTTTCTTTCACATTATTAATTAATATATTAGCTATAAACGCCACTGATGGAAGTAAAGCTGAAGGCGTTGAGCTTTTCACATGTTGATGTTAGTAGTGTTTTTTTTAGCTGCAGATGCATCCTCTGTTATGAAATGAAATGAAATTTATTCGAACATGATACAAATACAAATATAAAAATAAAATAGTGCCCAGTAACAAGAAGTGCATAAAAAAGAAGAGAAAATACAGATTTTTTTGTTTCAGTTAACATATCATGCTCAAAATGATAAAGTATATACTAATTGGAATGTTGTTATTTTAAGCAGTAAAGTGAACAAAATCACTTGTTATTTAAAGTAGAAATTGAATTTGCATATTTTAATGTATTTCTGATACTGTGTAACAAAGGCTTAAGTGGTTAAAAAAAACTCTGCAAAGGTGCCTTTTTCTTTTAATTTGATTAATCAATAGAATAATCAATTACTAAAATAGCTGCAGCACTAAAGTAAATCAGAACTGGCTAAAGTAGATATAAGCATGTCAATTCAAAACAAAGAGAATCACAAATTAGCCTGGTGGTCGGTGCATCTGTAGTCACTGGGATCAGATGGAAAAGACAGAAAGAAAGAAATCGCGAACACGTACCCTGATCTTGTCGTTGTCACTCTTGTCCTCTATGTCATCATCAAACTCTTTCTGCGGGTAAAACTCAATCCCGTTCATTTCCAGCTCCTTCCTAACCTGCAGCACCAGCGAAGACAATTTGAACAATTAGGAGAAGCCGTGGGATCAGAGTTGCTCACAGATGAAAACATCTGCGACCAAACGAGTTCTCTTTCCTGTCGAACAGATGTTGCGGCAGCTGTAACGATCACACTCACACGCTGTTTGAACTCTTGTCGCTCCTCGACAGTCATTGTGTCAGACTTTGCGATCACTGGAATGATGTTCACTGAGTGACTCAGGCGCTTCATGAACTCCACATCCAGTTGTCGAAGACTGGGGCAGATGTTGAGAGAGAATAAAAGCCGCGTTTACGCGACAAAGGGTTTCAGGACAGCTCATCCCGCCAAAAAAAAAAAAAAAGAGAAAAGAAAGAGATCGGAAGAGCTAACACGGAACACAGAAATATCTGTAACATGTCACACATCTCATTAGCTTTCCTCTGTTTAGGAATTACTCAAGAGTGTGAAAGTTTTTGAAGATTCACTGGACAAAGGTTAAATGTTCAACTCTTATCTGAATGTTTAAAAAAAAAAAACTTCCAGTTGATCTAAATTATTCTGACTGAGAACGATGAGACAAACTGGCAGAGACATACAAAAGACTGAATTTATGCATTAAGGAGTAATTTCACAGCTGTCAGCAGCAGCTAATTGCGAGGTGCTCAAAGGAAAGACAAGAGCATCATATCGAGGCAGTTTCCGGTCTACACAAAGGATTTTTGTGTTAAAACATAAATTTTACTTACGAGTGTCCAGTTGGGGGAATGAAGTAGAGGCAGCAGTGCACTCTGGTGTCGGGGATTCGCTTCTTTCTGGTGATGTTCACCTCTTCTTTCAAGAACTTCTCAAACTGCTCATTGATGTACTTAGAAATGGGCTCCCAGCTGCGGGACACAAAAAGCATGACGCTGCAGCGCTCCGGACCCCAGACGTTCAGTTTTACAAAGACAGAACTATAAGACAGGACAATAACTAGGTGGGTCAGCCGGAAAACCTACCAGTTGTCATTGTTGATTTGGTCTCCGAAGCCGGGAGTGTCAACAACCGTCAGCTTCATCTTGACTCCGCCCTCTTCAATCACTGCAACAACAAACACAATGACAAAAATGGTTTTGAAGCAGATATACAACCTGGTGTGGTCCTAATGCCAAAAATTAGGGGTTAGGGTTAGGGGTTATGTTTTTTTCCCCCTACTTTTTCTCCCCCCAAGTAGAAACAGATTGAGACTGTAAATCAGGCTCAAATCTCTAATCAGTGTATCTGTTGTAAAAGAAAATATACAAATTAGGTTAAAAAAGTGGAAGCTGACTCACTTACACCTTGGATTGTGGGTGAGTTTAGTTTGAGCTTCATAAAAACATGACTCAAATCAACCACAAGTGGTGCAGTTTGATGACTTCAAGCTGATAGTGCTAAACAGAGGACAACATTTTGCAGGTAAATTAGTAACTAACGCAGTTATTCATATGTCCCCGCAGCCCAAAGACATGTTTGGTTAGTGATAGGATCGGGGGTCTCTTCACTCCTTCACGGACTGGGCAGCATGCAGTCAGTGATTATTCATGTATTATTTCTGCAGCGTATCAAATTTTGCCTGGCATAACTGTGAGGCCATCTGTCCAAACACTGAGCTGAAATTGGGGTTTCTGATAGCAAAGTGATCCTCAGCGAATAAACAAACAAGTCCATAGGTGTAATGTATATAAAAACAGACAAAATATTGAACCATTTCTCACAGTAATGAACTCTCTCTGTCTATTCCTGAGAAATCTAGCCTCTGTGGGTTGCTTCTTTTTATATCCTGTAAGGTTACCGAGTGACTACTCATTAGCCTAATTAGCCGGGAGAAATTCCAACAGGTTTGATTTGCTTTTACATAATTTCTTTTCAAGTGTTTACTTGCTGCTGCTTAAAACTAACATGGGGCTCACAGGTTTGTTCAGAAGCTGTAAGAGGCAAAATTAAGGCCCCAAGATTTGAGGGAAGTGAGAGCAAAGGGTCTAGTAAACTTGCAATGTTGATTTTATGTTTTGTGTAATGGTGCCACTAAACAAATGTTCAATTTGATTAATATATAATTTATCTAAAAAAAGATATACTGACCAACATTGGACTGTATATATATATATATATATATCATTGGCTAAATTTGTGGAACACATTCACAATCAAATCACAGTTTGGTGTAACAGAGATAATCCTGCTAAAAGATAAACAGAAGGTGTAATAGTTGGTTAAAACTACCAAAAGTAAAAGCTTTTTATTTAAAGCTCTTGAGAAATTGAGGTTTAATTAGGAGCTGGAAATCAAAGTCAAACCTTTTTCTTTTCTTTTTTTGCACAAAAGCATCATTGTTAGAACTCATCTCACCAACTGGATGGATATCAGTCAGATCTCTACAGTTAATTACCTGGACAACATTCACATTTAGCTGACTTAATATATGTAGTTAGCTTGTCACAGGAAATTAAAATAAATGTACAGTCCAAGAAAATAACTTCTCTGTCACAGAGACAGAGCAAAACTTTTAGATTTTATACTAATATTCCACATGATCTCTTTTGACAGCCACCAAATTATCAGCAGTATGTTCACTTCCTTCTAGATCACAGCAGATATGACTATAGACTATAAAATAAACAGGTTATTTTATAGTCTAATTAATGGCTTGTACTTGTATAGCACTTTATCAAGTCCATAGGACCCCAAAGCGCTTTACACTACGTTCTGTCATTCACCCATTGTCACAGGTATGTAAACTAAGTTCATGGGAAGAATCCTGGTAAATTTTGGTAGAGTAATGCATAAGTTCAAAGTATTCTGTAAGCTCTGGAAAGAAACATTTAACTTGTGGGAAAATACCCTGGTTAGTTTGACGAACATTGAAGAAGTTCAGGAAGCCCACATCCTTTACGCCCCAGAGCTGAATTATGTTCTTTTAATCTGAATGTAAATAAGGATCTTTCTCGCTTTACTTACCGTGAGACACTGACTTGATCTCTACAGTTTTGGGGATCTTTTCGTCACGTGACCATCCTGCACTCTTCCTGCTCACCTGGGACTTGAATAAGGTGTTCACCAGAGTCGACTTTCCAAGGCCGCTGGGACCTGAGAGGGAGTTAATGGAAGTCAGACAATACAGAAACTTAAACCGGGGGGTCAGCTAAGAGAAACATGATCTACTGTGACGTACCAACAACCATGATGTTGAAGTCAAAGCCAGTCTTCATGGTCTTCTTTCTCATCTGCTCAATGATGGTGTCAATACCAATGTAGCCAAGCAGGGTGGAGCCCCCTCCGGAGCTGTGGGATCCTCCATGACCATGACCCGCACTGTGAGCTGGAGCATGACCCCCAACATGACCCCCAGCATGACCGCCGCTGTGGCCCACATTGTGGCCCACACTGTGACCCACGCTGTTACCGACAGGGTGGCTGGGGCCGTGACTTCCAATGGGAACTGGAATAGCGCTTTGAGGGGGCGTAACGATGCCACCGGCTCCCACACCTGGGCCCTGGGGTGGGAAGGGACTAGAAGGGGAAGGAGCGCCCACAATTGGGGGCTTGGCAGGGACAGCAGGCTTGGGTCTAACCTCTGGTGGAACTATGTCTGACATGTCTAGAGAGATGGAGAAAGACAGAAATAAAACAAATATGACGGAGAAGTAGGCCAGTGGAGCAGCTAAAGCTTCTTGTCCTTTTACTTGCTCTATTTTGAAGAAATTGGCTGCTGCAGCTGCCATTGGCTTCAAGCTGACATGCCAGTCTGTTTTTGAATGTCTAAGCATAAAAAACTGGTTTTGGGGTGGCCTACTCAAAGTCTAGATGTAAATCTCATCAAGATGCATTTGCAAGCACAGCTCCTACCTCTTAGTGAGACCCTGAAAACATTGTTTTTTCAGAACAGAGGGCAAAGGAAAAAAATCTGACTTCAGTTTTCTAACAACATGAAACATGGTACCAGAAGAAGGCAAAAGTACAAGCAAGAGGTTATGTCATAGAGGGACAGACAAAAGTGGAGTCGTTTCGATTGTCTGAAATGGACCAAACTCAACAGTTCTGCCTTTACAAATGTTTTATTCCCTAAAAAAGGGGAAAACAGAAACCAGGTCTTAAAACTGGAGTTTTTCATTTACCTTTATAGGTTAACGCAGCAGGATGAAACTCCCAGAGCTGCATTCTTTCATTGCTATTTTCACGTTTTTCCAACTATTTTTCCGTCTGTATTTCTCTGGTGTGTTGTTGCTGCCACATTTGATTCCAAGTTGCTAATTATTATAGGTTTAACAGATTTAATTTCAGTGAGCAGAGACATCAGAATCAAAAGGATTTAGCCACAAACCCGCACACCACTGCCCCACCATCAGAGCTCTGGTTTAAAGCCAAGCGAACATGTAAAGTGTGGTAACCAATTGGAGGAGGGGATTTGTGAGATTGACTGCTGCAAAGAGAAGATGTGAGCCTGTATACTGATATGTTAAGGGGAAAATAGAACAGAATACAAAGTAAAATAAAAATTACTTCATTAAGGGAAATTATTATGAATAGTTTTTTTTAAATCAGAATTTTTATTTTAATCACAATAGTAGCATAAATTGTTGCAATAAAATTCAAAGTTCGTATCGCTCACCTTCAACAGTAACACAACCTCACACTGAATAAAAAAATAAATAAAATAAAAAAATCAGCCTCTACTTAAAGTATATTTTTTCATTAGTAAAAATCCTACAATAAAAAAATCCCCTTTGTTGCCATTATGTATTTTCCCCAGCATGCAGCAGACATAAAGACCATTCTGCTTTGCACAAATCTAGACCATCTGCAGTCCTTGGTGCTGTCTTCTCTTCATGTCCCAGCTTTTCTATCTCATTTTGGTTTGGGGATGGCGGTGGCCATTTATTTTTATTTTTTTAATCTGTTGAGACGTTTTCTGGATCATTGTCCTGCTGAAAGACCCAATGATGACTCAGTTACAAAGCCACCACATGTTGTTTTAAAACATCCTGATATTTCAGCACTTGATGATGTGATGATTATCAGGGTGTTTAGAAGAGAAGCCCACAGCAACACAACTCCTGCACCGTACCTAACAACAAATCTCAACAGATCATTCGCACCTGGCATGTTTGTTGCTGCAAAATTCAACCTTAAGACCCTTTCAGATCATCCTTTTGTTCTGACTTAGCTTCAGCGATTTTACAAAGAAAAATGGGCGAAATATTCACTAACAGAGTAGCAAACGGTGGCTCTACAAGACACTGACTCAGGAGGGCTCAATAAGATTTGAAGTTGTACCAAACACTGACAAAATGTGAAAAAGTGCAAGGTGTATGAAAACATCTGTGTCAATGTCAGAGCTTCGGGACACTGCAACAGAACACAGTGGAGGGTTATTGGAACAAAAGCAAACCACTACTGCATCAGAAACATCAAATCAATCAAACTTTTTGGTAAAACACGCTTTGTGAAATGAGCCTTTCGGTGCAGCAGGCCGCAGAAAAATGCAGAAACCTTCCTGTTGATGCTGAGCCAGAGATGCTGATGATGAGCTGAGCTCTCTGGATGTGCTTATGGCAGGGCCACTTTAGTCACAGATGCAGAAGGCAGGAGGCTGTCACTTTGAGTTACTCCAACCACTGGTCATCATGCAGCTATGCTCCCTTCACATAATCTCATCTCAGATACGTATTGTTAGAAACATTTCAGCACAGTCCACGAGGGCTGACACATACACTAAAGATGCTAACACACCCACAGCTCTTATTTTAAAAAGAAAGATACATAAGCTCTTAGAGAATATGTTACGTGTTTTTATTTAACGAAATATGAGCAGATTTGCCATTTTTATTTGTTCTGAATAAAAACAAGAGGTTAGTTCCATCCCTCCCAGCCCTGCCGACCCCATTGTCTCTGCACTCGGTCCTGCGGGCTGCGTTAGCCCGCTGCTAGCACGGTCTGCTCAGCAGCGTCACACTCACCGATCCCCGATCAGTCCGTCCGCGCAAAGAGAAGCCGGGCTGATCTCACCGGGTCCGAAACCTGCTCCGAAAAACTCAACACAGAGATGCGGAGAACAGGAAGGGTCATATGACGAGCGATGCTACCTTTTCTCTCTTCCCTCTGGCCGAAAGAGAGCCCCCCCTTTGTCTGTTGCCAAGGCGACAAGAGGACAGGGAGTGGGGAGATGCAGTGCACATGCGCACAGTAACTTTGGCTCAAAGGGACTTTTTTTTTTTTTTTTTTTTTTAGAACAGTCTGTTGACACTGATGCGCGCTATTTATAGGTCTGGACTGTAGCATAATTAAAAGATTAAGTACCCTAAAGATCTGGAATCATAATACTATTTTAAATATTCACAATAATCCTGAATATTTGCAGTTTAAATGAAACAGGTGAGGATCAAGAAAAAAATCTGCACTTGCTACTTTTTGAGAAGTTCGCAGTTTAACTATAAAGTTAATGAAAAACAAAGAAATAACCTCACATACCAGAGACTCAAAGGCAGAGCCGGACTGAGGTATGAGTGAACTAAGCTGCTGCTCTGAAAACCATCAGGGGCTTCCCATAAATGTTTTAAATTTTAGCAGAGAGCCAAGATTTTTATTTTTACTTTTGTTTATTTAGAATGACAGTAATATTATTGATTTGTCAGGTTAAGCATATATACATTAAAAGGTTTTAAACTATTTAAAATGTAAGTTTTAAAAGAATTGGCAAGTTTACTTTGAGAAAGCTCAACAAATAACCCTCGCTGCTGTTGTGCTTCAAGCTGGGGGTTTAAATTTTTTCTTTGGCATATTTATAGCTAAAAATACAGTAAAAATTCACACCACAACATTATCTTCCTCCAGCAAGTACCAAGCCATTGAAACAAAATCAAAAATTCAAGGGAGGATGAGAAAATTACACCGGACATTCTCTATCAGCTGTTTTTTCCCCCCAAAAAGTCGTTTAAATATAATGTGATGCACTTCATGACATAGCACATGCAGGTCCAACAGGACCCTGATTTCACACAGAATGACGTCTGACTGGCTTTATTTAACCAAAAACCCCTCAAGAAGACACTGCAAATCTCATGGAGAGATCGATCGTCAGAGACTTCACCAGTAACTCATGTTTATCAACACCACAGTAAGCCTTTAGAAGTAAAAACTCTTTTCTTTTCACCCACTACTCACACTTTATCTCACAGTTGCTCTCCTTGCTTCACTCTGCCGCTGTTGTTTCTGCATGTTTCTGCTGTGTTTATGTTCCCGTGTGGAAAAACTGCGCTGCTTCCAGTTCTCTTTGCTTTGACAGAAACTGTTAACTAACATGGTCACATCTTTACTCAGCCCGTCTGTTCGTCTGCTGATAAGGAGCAGCGTCTTCCAACCCTCTGCTATCCTCTTCGACCACCCCACCTGCCTGTGCCCCCTCACCCCCAAAGGTTCAATATTAGTGGACTCCTATCTGAAATAAAAACAGCAACTGAAACACCATGAGACTGACCTGAGCTAAAGTCATTCTAGTGTTTTGGACATGTTTACACTCACCTACATACACTGAGTCTGGGTAGTACATGGTGACGTAATAGGGGTCTTCTGAATCGTCTGTGATAAACGCTCTGTCTGGGCCAGAGTACTTTGCTTGGTGTTTTTGTTGACAAGCTTGTGTCTCTGCAGAAGGCTGGTAAACAATCTTGCAAACACCCGATTGATTCAGAACTGTGTGACTGAAGTTCATCTCTCTGCGGTTTTCACATTGCTTAGTCATCTCCTGATTCCAGGGGTGTTTAGCCTGGATGTCAGGATGTGAAAAGGTTCCATCCTGGGAATAAAGAGGTTCATCAGATGCAGACTGGAGGATCCCCAGGCTCTGAGGTGCCTCTATATGTGTCTTAACTTGATTTAATCTCTGTGCACTACCAGACATCGGTGGTATCTGACCGAAGTCGCTTGACTGGCAGCTGAAATCCTGTGATGCACACTCAGATCGCCTTACCGCAGTCTTTACATCCATCTGGGTGGAATGCCTCAGGGCCTGGTTTGGTGCAGACATTTGATTCTGAGAGGACTTGCTGTTTAAAGCTTCTGCTTTTACTCTTGTTTCAGTGTCCAAATTAAATTGTCTTCTTCTTGTTTCACTTTTGTCTGAATTGAGACTTATCTGAGAATCTGCAGAAAGGGACGGTTTGGCCAGCTTTGTCCTTTTACTGCAATCTGTTTTCTGAAATGATTGATCAAAGGTGGTACATTCAGAAGTGTGTGTGTAATTGCTCTTGAGGTTGTAGTCTGTTAACCTACTTCGAAGCTTTGACTTGATAGAAGAGGCATCAAGCTCTGATGGAAAAGCATCAAAATGCCTCGTCACTTCCTTTGGTTCATATTGCTTTTGCAGTTCTGCTATTGGTTTTGGTGTCAACATGGTAGCAATATTTGAATTCCTGTTTGGAGTCTTTGGTTTTTCTGTTACTGTAATTTCTGTTTTCTTCAATCCAGCTTTACTTTGAGCTTTGCAGGAATCGTGACATAACGCCGGAAGCCTGCAAGAGTCAGTCTGTCGGGTCTCTCTGCAGACTCTTCTATTCCCAGGATGAGTGAAGTCCAGCAACGCTCCTTGGTCAAGGACGTCATGCTTGATCTTGCTGGCCGGCTCCACTGCCGTGTTAGATATGGAAATAGATCGAGCATGTCTCTCCTGAGCAACAGGGGATGGCTGTCTCTCTTGTTGGCTGTCGGCAGCCGATGAGGGTGATGGGGTCCGTCTGGGTGTTGGGACTGTCAGAGTTGGCGACACTCTTGGCTTTTGGTCTGGCTGCTGTGGTATCGGGTGAAAATCCCCCAACACCGAGGAGGGGGGAAGAAGAGAATCCCTTGGTCTTGGTTTCAAAGTGCGGAGTGTGGGAGAGGAATTTGGCTGTGGAGCAGGGGAAACGCAGATGTTGGGTTTAGCAGAAACGGTCAGAGAGTTGTGTGTTGAGGACTTTGTCCTTGGAAGTGTTGAAGCTCTCTCCCCGTAGTTTCTCTGTGAATTCAGACTCTCTTTGCCTCGCATGAGCTGACATGAGGTCTTGGAGGAAATCACATCACTACATCTAAGAGAGTAGAAAATATCAGATGTAAAAGGCATTCAGCATAATATTTATAGACATGTGATACATCATCAAGCCACACATCTGCGTACCTGTTAACAGCTGAGAGTTTAGTGTTGCCCTTTTCAAAGATGAGCCCCTTTTCATCAAACGATGGGAGTAGGATAGCCTTCTTCTTGATCACAGGAGAAGACAGAGAAAGAGGAGGTGACTGGCAGACTTTAGGAAGCTCGTTTGTTTGTCTGCAGGATGAAGATGTACCCGACATCAGAGGTTTATGACGATGAAAAACACTCATTCTGTTGTATATAAAATGATTGGAACCACCTGCAAAGAGAGACTAATTTTATTTATGGACTCGCACAAAGTATGCATAATTGTGAAATGGAAGGAAAAGTATATCTTGGCAAAAAAAGAGAAGTCTCTAAAAGTGCTACACTTGCATTTGCAGCAAAAATTGGTTTTACAAAGCATTGAGTTAAGGCACTTTTCAGAATTTTATCAGTAAAATACTTGGAAAAGCATGGACTTCCGAAATATTCAATGCGGTGACAAAGCATGAAAAATATTGAAGGAATATACATTCTAAATTGAATGTATTTACAAATTAAAACGTTCAATTTCTCTTCTCAGTTTCCGCTATGCAACCTATAAGAGCAGAATCAATATTACCTACATCAACAGCAGCATTGTGAAAATACAAACTGATCCAAAATATTGTCATTCAAAATCAGCTTAATGAGCCATAACAGAAATGAATTTCATAATATGATAAAAAAGGGATAAATTAGATGTTAGACTTTATCTTTTAATTGCAATAAAGAATGATGTCAAATTAGTTAATACATTCCCATCATATGCACTAAGACTAAAGCAAGTCTTAGTGCATATTAGTATCTACTGAAACTAGCTTTTACAACTGCAATGTTACGGAGTAGGAAACATGCAAATCTCATCAAATGCGGCATTTTAAGGCAGTGTGCATTCTGATTCAGAACAATTTTAGATACTTAGAGTAAAAAAAAAAGCAAACCTGATGTCTGATGGTCTCTCTGTTGCCGTCACTTTGAGAGAGTAAACAAGCCTGCGAGTGCAAGACAATGAGCAGAGAAGTAGGAAGCAGTGGGCGCACAAGTGCCATTCTCGCCATTTTTCTCCTCTGAGCCCTCACTGTTCCACTCCCACTCTGGTGTCCCGTTTGATTTGCTCCACTGGGCACTGTGAAATCTGAGTGTGGCCTGTGTGCAGCCTGTCTGGTCCCAAAGCAGACTTGCGTTCAGAAACCTACTCAAGCAAAACTACAGAAGAATGAGCGGGAAGTTGCTTGAGCACAAATGTTTGGACCTTTGGCCTTTTCTGGCCTCTGCAGAAGGTCACACAATAACTCTGAGGGGTAAAACTGCTAGATCATTTAGGACATTAGTTGTCATTCCAATAAAGCTACACACAAAGCTCATTAACACGTGCAACATGTAAAAGACTTGGTATGGGATGGTAAAATTGTCATTATAACCTTGATTAAACCCTCTAAAATTAGTTGTAGTTCTCAAGTGGACAGAAGTGTAACAAGTGGATATTAGCTGGTCAGACTAGCTCTGGCAGTAAAGGCAATTGACCAATTTTCTGAGAACTAAGAGGGTTTAGGTTTTTGCTGCAATGAAGTGCAAATGGTTCCTTACTGGATTCTGAAAACCGCCCAACCCTCTCCAAGCGGTGCGAATGCTGCACAACTTGCCAAGTGGAGAGTTTTTGTCAGCATATTGAACTGCACAGGAATGCAGTGTTTCAGGAATGCAGTTGCCCTTGATTTGCTGATTTGTTGATTTGACTCTGTCGAAATGGACGCAGGCAGTGAGGACTTTGCAGGGACTCAGTGCATTTGCAGGGAGTGGAGGAGTAAGTGGCAGCTTTCAGGAAAAAAAAAAGATTGGCAAGTGCAAACGGATGTATGTGACAGAGTATTAGGGCCAGACTAAGAAAAAAAAAAAGTTACAACAATAAAGTCATAATAATATTAAAAAAAAGTTGTGAGAATTAAGTCATAGGAGATCCTTCCTGCATCTATAACAACTCATTGAAAAACCGTGGATAATACGAGTTACACCAACATTTAATTTCACCCGTGGGATCAAAAAAGTACTTTTGAATCGAACTGAAAACATTAACATATGATTAAAAAAAAGAGCAAAGAAGAAAGCTGTTAATATTTTTGTGCAAATCAAACAGAAAAAGTCTGGCAAACGAATGGAGTGAAAGATTTTATTTTGTATGAACAAAGAAGGCAAAAATGGCTGTTACACTATTTCCTCATGACGCTGTCAGAAATCAAAACACAATGAATTAAGAAACGCTATTTTTCCTCACTGTTGGCCCATCTGTGATGTTCTTGGCACGTTGAAGGAATCTATTCACAGCAGGTCACTGTAATAAGCGTTGCATCAGTTTGGCACAGCAGAACTAATGATCCACATGCCTTTTCAACAGCTGCCTTACACACATCAGAGAGAGGGTTGGGAAAAGAAAAAAAAAAAAAAACTTCCCCCAGCGGCAGCAGATTTACATCATTCACTTCCAGAGTTAGGTAGTAAGGATAGCTGCATTTACTCGAGTAGCATTTTGCAAAAACAAAAGTACGTTTTACTACTGCTTTTATTTGAACAATTTTATTATTACATCTGTTACTTGAGTAAATTTTATGGATGCTCTACCCTTTGTGAGTATCTTCAATGAATGGAGAACAAGCTTGTTTTAACCAGTAATTCACCAAACACACCGGCTGTTTTTGTTGAAGTGTCTTAAGTTTTATACTGAAAGAAACTGATTTGGATTTATTTTTTTCTTAAGTTTGTAATTATGTTATTTGCATGAATCATTTTCACTTTGGTCCACCGACATTTCACATAACATTATATTTTGGTCCATCTGATGACGTAATTAAAAAATAATAATAAAGTAATTGATATTTTGATTAGTTACTCAGTACTTGAGTAGCCTTTTTACCGAATATTTCTTTTTTTTTTTTTTGCTCTTGAGTAATTTCTTGGATGGTCACTTTTTAGTTTCACTTGAGTAAAAGTGTGTTGAAGTAGAGCTGCTCTTACTTGAGTACAATTTGTGGGTACTCCATCCACCTCTGTATTCATTTCACTATGAACAAAAACACAAAGTCAACTTTGTGTCACATGTAAAGTGATTGTCAAATTACAAAATGTATGCAAAAGTTGGCACAAGTATAGAAGATGGCATCAGACGTACAAACACTAAAGGGAAATTTTTTTTTTTTTTTTTTTTTTTTTTTTTTAATCAAATCACGATCTTCTTCTGCAGTCCAGCATATCTGCCTTACTTTCTTTGATCCCTGCCGGGAAAATCCACAGAGAGCAAAGAAAAGTTGGAATGATAAATGATCCCTCATCCTGCTCCTCTTTTCGTTGTCAAGGTGTTCTCCCCCCCCCCCCCCACCCCCCTCTCTCCCCCGGGCCCTTTCTCCCCCCCCCCACACTGTCTGGACGCGTCCTCCGCCGGCCACCTCTCTCCATCGTCGGATCAGATCAGGGCATTGCTATCGTCATCTCTGCAGTTCACGCTGGCCACCAGCGGGTGATGCCGGATCGTTTTGTTGCTCCATTTGTGGGCGTCCTGCAGCCCGGGCTCGAGGAAGTACAGACACGCTCCGAAGCCTGCCAGCACCAGCACCGACACCAGCAGGTAGAGGGGCACGAACCAGTCCAAGAACAACCAGGACATGACGGCTGGGGGACGGCGAGAGGAAGAGGATGAGGATGAGGAGGGCAGAAAGAGAAAGAGGAAAAATAAAATATCCATGCCTCTACTCCTCCAACGACACATGTCTTTTTATAACCTGCCAAAAACTGGGATTCATCACTGTCAATGAAAACAAAACAAAAAAAAAGGGAGGTGAGGGTGGGAGGGGGGGTCGATGCTTACCTGTGGAAGAGCTCAATCAGTTGGTCCGAGGGTGAAGGTGGGTGATGAAGAAGAGCAGCTGGAGCGAGTCAGAGCGGTCATGGGAAGATCGTTTCCCACCCGGTGCAAATCACACACTGCCCTCTGAGAGGCTCCGAGAGACACACAGGAGCTGCATGCGGCTTCATCCTCCAGCTACCCGACACGCTGACGTGGAGAGGAGGGGCTCCCGTTGCCATGACAACACCCCTGATGGTGGCTGAGAGAGCGCTGGGGGAGTGGGAGGAAAACTTATATAACTATAATCATTTTTTTTTTTTAAGTGGGGGGCAGAGCGTGGAGGGGATGTGGAGCTTATGGAAGGAGGAGGGTGAGGATGAGGAGGACGAAGCCCTTCGGATGTCTCTTGTTGCTCAACGCCTCGTTGCTCACTGCATAAAATCGGTTCTAATCGATTTAACACCAGACCGATCACACACTTTATGTGACATTGAGTAAGAGAGGGGCAAGTGAGCGGAGCATTAGTGTTTGTTTTTTTTTATTTATTTTTTTTTTTAAAAATCTTGACTGACTGACAGCGGCTGCATTTTATGGAGTCTCTCCCAAAGGGTTCTGCACCCCACCCACCCTTTGTCTTCATTCCTACAGTTTCCAACACAAAAGCTGAGGGGATGGCCTACATAGTGAGAAGTTGTCTTTTTTTTTACCCCCTCAAACTTGCCAGGTTTAGCTCCTTCTGCACGAATATCACCAGATTCTTGAAAAGCTGCTGAGTTCAACAGATAATCTTCAGCTGGATGTCTGAAACATCAGAGAGCAGAAGTGATGAGCTGACTCCAGAAATAACACAAGGCTGTTACTTTGTTTGGTAATGCTCTCAGCCACACCGTACCTTTTATACACTTTTTCCATTCAGGATGTAGCTTATTTCAACATGCTGCGTCACAAAATGTTGTCCTTTTTGTCATTTACTCTGGACATTTTCCCCTCATTTCATTGGTTTATGCAGTGGCATTTCTCTTCCTTCTGCCAACCACTATCCAGATCACAAGATGAGACGATTTGGGGCTCATGAGAATGGGAAGAGATCTCAGCTATATTTCTGGAGATACCTGCAAATAGATGGCAGGTGTCTTAGTGAAACAGAGGTTACAGGGAGACAACATCTACAAAAAACAGAGGAAGTCCAGAGCAAAAAAAAACAAAAAAAAAACAAAAACAAAGTTCAAATGGAAAAGCAAACAGGGAACATAAAGGACTGAAATCAAGGACCGAAAATGAAATAACTACACGTAGTCAAGGTGAAGATCTAACAAAACAGAAAAACAAGGGAGGTATACATACACAGGGAGGGTGATTGCAGGCACCATGAAGAAGTTAGTCTGATTTACTAATTGTGGAACAAACACATGTATTGTGGCTTTTTTCTGCCTCATTCTTTACATGGTGAGGACCCAAATACCAAACAAATGCATAATGAAATAAATATTTAACGAGTGACAGATTCTTCTTTTTCTGACAAGTTTTTAATTTAGAATTATTACTTTTTATGACAAGTTAAAGTTTTAATTACACCAGAGGACAAACTTTGTAGGGGCCTCATAAAGAACCTGCCATGCTGACCACCAGATTGTTTTTGAGAAAATCTCCTGTTTGTGTTTATCAGAATCGTATGACTATTTTCCTGCCAACCTGGAAAAAAAAGAAAGAAAAAAAAAGACAGAGTGTTTTTTCATCCTGATGTTGAAGTGGTTTCGCCAAAGCATTCTCCTCCCGTGCTGAAGGCTGCGCCTGCCAGCACTGCCTGGAGCTCTACCGCCTGCGAGGAAAGAGATAACACACAAAGAGTGCTTGCAGTGCTTTCTCTGCTTCAACAGAGGGACGGTGGTCAATAATTTAATCAGAAATGAGCCTCATCAGAGCAAATATTCAAGTTTATTCAATATGATTAAAGAGGAGGCTGATACTGTGATCAGAGAAAAGATGACACAACCATTAGCGAGTTAACTTAAGTCAACTACCTGTGCTGGTATAATAGCTCTAGGTAAGAAAAAAATAGCAGCAGAAGCCACAGTGTATTGTTTAGATTTTCTTGTATTATCACTGCAGCACAACTAGCTGCTACAGGATGGTAGAAAAGTAATGCCAGCAAGTTTTTTTTTAGTTTTTTTTGTCAAATAACTGTAATTATGTCCACAGTTTGTCAGATGGAAAACTTGCCTCAGTGCATCCTGGAAACAAGGCGCCAACTTTTACCCAAAATGCATAATTTCAGTCTACCCTTGTAGCATCACAGTCACAGCTGTGTTACAAATCCATGTAAAGACCCCACAGTAATTACAGCACCTACCAGACTACTGCTGTGTTTGCACTGAGCATTTATAATGGATGAGGCTAGTGGCAGCAGAGGCAGACAAAGAAACTAAGAAACATGTCATTTTTCCCAAAATAAAATACAATTCATTGAGGCAATTCCACAGATAGTTACAAAGATGGATGATTTAGACCCCAAAATAGGAAAAATACACATTTATTAATAACCCTTCTCTGTTGTTGGCTCAGAGGATGGGGTTTCAACAAAGCAGCAGGATAGAATAATCAGCAAGTTAATGAGATGAATAATGTATTTCAAGAAGCTTTAGACATGTTAATATGACGGCACTCAGCTTTGTGTCACGGCTTTTGACTGACCAAAGAACCCTCACATCTGTAACAGAGGCTGTAAGAGCACTTTGGTCTGCAGGAAGTCAGAATTAACAGGATAAGGGACGACTTTAGGGTAGATTAGATGAATATGATGATAATGAGGAACAATCAATATGTCAGGAGAAAAGTTAAAATATGGATACTTTAACAGAATCATTTTCAGTGTTTTTTTTAAACCAACAAACAGATTCTTAAAGTAAATCAAACTACAAAATTACAACAAAGCCCTGAAAAATCAACCAATCTAATACTTATGAACTAGTAAACTACACTTATTTATATATCCGCTGGAGTCTCAGCTTAAAGCAGATATTTGCTAGACCTTATTTATCCAAGGCCTGGAAAACATATGGGCTTACTAGGCAGCAGCCTTCATAAATGCATAATTTCAATTAAACTTATTGTATAAATGTTTTTAAATTTAATCATTTGCTTAAAAGCCAAATAATCTAAAACCAAATCAAAAGAAAAACTAGACTGAATGGAAAGATGATCTGTCCATCCGTCCATAAACAAACAAAGAATTGTGCAAAATAGTTGATAAAAGTCTTACTATCAAAAGTTGTAATAACATCTCTCTTACTGGATTGTAAAGTCTGAAAAGAGAAACTCAGAGAAAGAGGGAGTAAGAAAAAGAGAAGCTTAGAGAGAGGAAAAAAAAACAAAGAAGAAAATCTATGGTGCAAACCTGCATGGCCCAGAAAGCAGCATCATCAGGAATCAAACACCTTTTAGTCCTGGGTTGGGTTTAGTCATGTCTGACCCACCTTGGATTCCTCAAAGCCTCACAGGACATGAAGGAAAATCTGGGGTGCAGTGAGAATGTCAAGGTGCAGAAAAGTAGACAAAATTTCAAAATCAGTCCTGTCAGTCAGTCTGACTCCAAAACATATTTATGGTGCATGACAGAATCAAAGCTGAGATACAACTGACAGCTTTTCTTCTCCAGAGCAGAGACAGCTCCAAAAAACAAAACAAAAAAAAGCTAGCTAAGAGAAGCTTTCCGGATGAAGCTGCAGAGTAAATCTTGGTCTAAAGGTTATTTTAAGAAGAGAATAACCCAAGAATAAGTTAATTAAAAAAAAAAAAACTAAAGAAACATGCAAACAAAAAAGACTACTATGTTCTAAACTTGCAGAAAAAGACCAAGAAAAGCATCATTTGACATGTGCTCATATGCATCTAAATGAACAGATTTCCATAACAGCTTCAGGCTTATAAACCCTCCTGTTATTCATATTTTAACCATCTCAGGAACATTATCTGTGTGATAAAGGATAATTTCAGCCAAATCTAATGATGTCCTTCTGCAAATGTCTTTTCAGAGGGTGAAATATTTGCGTTGAGTGTTCAAGCAAAGTCAGAGTTTCAAGGTTCATAGCTACAAAGTCATCCTTAAATGTTCTTTTCCCCCCTCGACTCCCATAACCATTTGGCAATATATCTCTCTCAATTTTTTTTTTTTTTTTTTTTTAGAATCTGAAGCTAATTTTACCAACTGCTACAATTAGCTTTTTGTCTTTCGGTTCTGGCCTTGGTATAATTATTCTTCCACACCAGCTTGCCACCTGCTGCCTTTCATTTCGTGTCTCTTATTACTCGACTATGCCAGGGGTGTGGAGTCATCATAGGAAGTATTCATGCCAGAAATAGAGCCAAGGCGGCCGGGATAAGAGTTAAACTGTAACAGACTGCAGCAGTGCTCATTTGGGTGATGTTCAGTCTCAGCAGAATGGAGTTGATGAGATGAGCTTTTGGGTGCGGAAAGGGGGGAGAAAAAAAAAAAAAAGATGGCCTGGCTCTGCATTCAGACTATGTTTCACTCCACCAGAGCACCACAGACAAAGAGAGGACTCTGTAGGATGTACTGAAATACGCTCGGTGTAAAGTGTTTTATATACGGTTTTAACTACATTTCAGTTAAGAAAGCACACATTGCTTTACAGTTCTATATTTCTTTAAAAAAAGAAAAGACTTTCTGCATTAATTAGATTCACAGTACTGCTGACACTTTTAAAAATCTGCTTCATCCTCCACCTTTGCCATCTGCTGTCAGTCTGACAGCAGACACCTTGTCCCATTTACTGACAAAATGACAGCCATAATTACCAAACTGTTCACACCCAAATCACTCCCCAGTCAAGAGCGTCACTTATGAAAATTTACGCCAACCTGTCGACTCATCTCAGCTCTACACGGCTTGGATGGTTTTCCGTTATAATTGAATAAAGGCTCTATAGTGGGTGGGCAGCAGCGGCCTGCGCAGACATTTTGGGAAAAGCTGCTCCAGTGGGAAAAGGGCACCTTGTTTGAAAAGTGTGTGTCATTGAAACAGACTTAAATACTGAACGTATGAGACAAAATTTTTCTTGATGCGATTATGTATTTGATTTTTTTTAAAAATCCTAAAAATTTGAACCAGAAAAAAATGGCTTAGCTTGCCTTCTGGTGGTGCAAGCTAAGCAGTTAGTTCTCGATTGATTCAAATGGCTTTTAGCTCTGTGAGGAG